CTCACTCAGTTCTGCCTTCCCACTTTACCTCTTTCAGATTTTAAAGGTAGTGTTAACATGGTCAGAGCTGTGTGCTTTGGGGAAAATTGCCCTGAAGAAAATGGGAGACTGGAGTCAGAAAGTTAGAATATACCAAACCACCCAAGTGAGAAGAAATGAATGTCTGAATGGGGGTGGTGATGGGGAGGAGGACAGGGAAGAAATGAGAGATACATTAGTGAGGGCAAATGGCCTGGAAAAGTGATTGGATGAGATTCAGGCTCAACAGCCTATGGTGAACTGGTGATTATAAAGCATGTGCTGTATCAGAGAAAACAGCCTTCATGGATAAGTGCTATCTGAGAAGGTGCCTTAGAAATGATGAAATGGAAGCTGAGTTCTCCATGACAAAGAATTTACACACTGACTTAGGGGTTAGTAGGACAGGATTCTCATGGGGATCCCAGTGGAGAGCACCTGGCAGGAATCACAGAAATGATCTTGGATCCTGCAGCCCTTAGCACTAAGACTAACAAGTAGTAGAGGTACAGTGGACATCCCTTGTTGTTGGTCCAGCACTTGTTTTCCCTTCTTGAAAGCAAAACCCATTTTTCTTGTGGAGCCACTTCACTGTGAAACAGGAATAGTTGACTATTACCCTGACTACCAGAGTGAGCAAATAACTCCTGCCTACCTAATATGAGGATTCTATCCCCCTGACCTCAGTAATTTGTTCAAGTTTGGACAATTGGCCAGAAAAGATCCAATAGGAATTTCTTAAAAGATTAAGATTACCTATTCTAAGGCATTAGAATTAAGAATCCTTTTTTTTTCTATCTAGAGTGTGAATGTACTTTTAAGTTATTTTTCCACTCTTCCACACTATATGCCTATGTTACAGGCATAAGGATCCCTCAGTGGTATGTAACTAAAACTCAATGCCAACTAGTCTAAGAGTTTAAGATGAAAAAACAAAAGTTATCCTGGTTCCCAGGCTCATTTTCCTTCCACTGTCCTCTACTACCTTCATCACCCTTGTAGAGACTAGCACAAAGTTGTGAAATGTACATAGTTTATCCTTTCTGAGAAAATATATTTGTTCTGGTAATTACACAACTGTACTCTCAACATTTCTACTGTTACCTCTTCACACAATTTTTTAAAGATATGACAAAAGATGGTGTTACTTTACATTACACACACATATACCCATGCCTTTGAAAAGTGCTACTAGCTTTTATCTGTGGCTGTGTGCCTGTTTTTACAGTTCTCTTTCTTTTCCTATGCTGGGCTTTTTGAAGCAAAAAACTAGTCTTAGAATTGGATAAGGATTAAGGATGAGCCAATACCACCCTATATGTTAAAGAGCAACCAGTAAATACCCACGTTTTCTGCACTGAAGAGACTGGGTTCTGCTAGATTCCAGAGTTTGCAAAATGACTAAGAACCCATCCATACTACCAGGTGCTTTAAAAGGACCCAAATCTGTCTTGCTCAGCTGAAGTGCTGGATGTTTCTTTTCGTATCACCTCTAAGTTTAACACAAGTTGTATCTGTTGCTGGACATCTTTCACGAGGCACATGAATAGATCTGGTGTTCACACAACCAACAAAAACCCATGACCAATAGAGTCCATTTTTTTTTTTTAGGTGTTTAGAGAAGCACACTTAGAAACTGCTTGGAGTGATTTGAATAGTTAAATAAGCCCAAATTTTAAAAACTCTTTAACTAGAAAACTGCTACCAAACTTTCAGGAGGAAATCAGAAAAATTCACAAGAAAACTTGCTGAAGTCAGGACTTACCTCAAAAAATAAAATTTGAAAAGTCTAGGCTAATCACATAAATAGTTATTCATATTTTTCTAGGCTTTTACCATTTGCTGAGATTTCAGTCATAGGCTCTTATTTGAGTCAAAGAGAACAGGCACTATTATTTTTATCCCCTTTTGACAGCTGCTAAAATTGAGGCATGGAGTGGTTAAGCAAATTTCCAAAGGTCAGACAGCTAATAAATGGGGAAGATGTGACTCAAAAAGCACTCTACCTCTATGTCCAGAAGGCAACAGGAAAGAAAATGAGATCTAAACTCTGGGCTAACCCAGACATTGAATAACTTTGTGACATTGGTCCAGTTACCAGTTACTTAATCATTTTAGCACTTTAATTGACTTCCTCATTTATGAAATATGGATAACATTTACCTGGAAATTTTATTCGGGAGACTGAATAAGATAATGTAAGTTAGACACCACCCCCTGTAGTATGTAGTCCATATTGGCTTCCTCCTCCTTCCCTTAGAGTACATTGCAAATTCCGTATGAACTACCACAGCAAATCCAAAGCCGTGAGCCATATGTAGATATTCACGTATTCAGAATGAAAACCATGGGAGGTCCTCAGTCATTAGTGAAATATTTATTTGCACTCCCTGCCTCCAACTCCATCTCTGTCACTACCTCAGTGGGTACCTACTTTATTTCTTGTACCAGCTAAGGATGCCACATTCAACCCAGTTCCCAAACTTGCCCCCCCATGTTTCTCCTTCCTCTTGCCCTTGACATCCCACTAATCACTGAATCCTACTCATGTCACCATGTAAAACTGTCTACTAAATGTGCTTTTTCCCTTCTGTGACCATCTCCAGTGCTGTAATGTGCATCCCAATCTGCTTCTGTATCAACCCCCTCTATTCCATCCTACAGGGTGCTCTCCACTGTAAGTCTGGAAAACACTGGTCTGATGATGCAATCAGCCTACACCAATTCTCCCATCTCTCCAACTGCCTGAGGATTTCATGATCTCTAGCTTGGTACATAAGACCTTCCATCAGCTGGTCCTTGCTTTGAACTTCTCCCATATATTCCATCCCTTTCCCAGGAACCCCCAGGGCCATGTCTAACTATTATAATTCCCTAAAGGTTGCCTCACTCTCTCTCATCCTCCTTGGTTGATCTTGTTTGGAACTCTCCTCACTTTATTTTCTGAAAAAGTTTCTCCATCATTAAAATTCAGCCCAGTATCATCATCTTCTTTAGGATACTTTCTTTTTTAAAAATTGTATTTATTTATTCATGAGAGAGAGAGAGAGAGAGAGAGAGAGAGAGAGAGAGAGAGAGAGGCAGAGGCATAGGCAGAGGGAGAAGCAGGATCCGTGCAGGGAGCCCAACATGGGACTCTATCCCAGGTCTCCAGGATCACACCCAGGGCTGAAGGTGGCGCTAAACCCCTGAGCCACCCCGGCTGCCCACTAAGATACTTTCAGTAACACCCCCCCACACACAGAAGCTGGCTTATATGTCCCCCTGTGTGCTCCTGTAGCACCCTACATTTGCCCCATTTTCTCAAAGAACTGTTCAGAGTGTACAGTAACTGGTAGTTTCTATATCTCTATGGAGATAGAGTTGTGAGGTACAACATTCAATTAAGATTGAAAACAAGCTCTAAAGCTGCCTAGGTAAATCTCCTGCAGTGTCACTTACCAACCATGAGATCTAAGGTAAGTTTAACTGACCCTTCTAGGCCTCATTTTGTATTTGTAAAAAAGTGTGTGTTCATTTCTTATGCCTGCTATAATAGATTACCACAAACGTGGTGGCTTCAAGAAGAAAAATTTCTGTTCTCACCATTCTGAAGGCCCAAAGTCTGATCTCAAGGTGTCAATAGGGCTTTGCTCCCTCTGAAAGTTGTAAGAGAAATCTGTTCTGTTCCCTATCTTCTGCAGATTCTGGTGGCTCAGGGTGTTCCTTGGCTTATGGCCACATCACTGCAATCTCTACTCCCATTGTCACATGCCATTTTCCTCTTTATATGTCTCTCTTCTGTGTGTCTTTTATAAGGACATTTGTCATTGGATGTAGGGCCCTGCATGAAAATCTTAAGATGATGTTCTTAAGATGTTTAGCTTAATTACATCTGCAAAGGACTTCCTCCAAATAAGACCACATTCATTTACACCCATAAGAGTTTCAAGGATTAGAATGTAGACATCTTCTGAGAGGCCACCATTTAACCCACCATAAGGTGCTGTAATAGTTTGCCTGGCTCTTGTATTTCTCAGCAATATTGGAAGAGATTGTGCATATAAAGTTCTCGGATCAGTATCTGGCAGAGAATAAACGTTCAATAAATAATATCCATTATTATTTATTGTCATTCAGTTACTGTCATGTATAGAATCCTTAATAGTTTCCTTTTTTTTTTTTAAGTTGTGTTTCTTAGGTCAAAATGTTAGCTAGAACACTTGGGGCATGTTGCTAACAGCAAGGGTTTAAATAAGTTTCACTACTCTTCACCATAACAGGAAAACTCAATTAACCAGGATGCTCATCCCTTATCATATATGAACTTTGTCAGTGTTTCCTGTAGTAGCTGTTTCCCAAAGGAAGATCATCCATGCTGAGGGCATGAAATACTTTGTTCTTTGCTAGTACCCAAATAATGAATGACTTTATCTGAAATAATAATTGGGAGAAGTCATGTGTATGTGATTATAGACTTGGAAAAGGTAAGAAAGCAACCATCAAATAACCACCCTGCAGGATTACAGACGTGAGGACAGACCAAGGTTGGCAAAGTAATGATTTTCCCCAGGTCCCTCCTTGAGCTGGTGATAAAGCAGAGACTAGATCCCAGGTCTCCAGATTTATCCCAGCCTTATACTCACTGGCGATCTGTCTCATCTTGTTGACACCACTGAATGCAAAAAGTAACAGCAGTTATTTAAAGGGATGGAGACTTTTAACTAAGTCACTTTTATGTGACATAGCACCATGCAATTATCAGCAGTCTTGCGAGTTCTACTCTAATAGACCCAGTAATGATACAGATGATAGCTTTAACAAGCTTATACTTCACTGCCATTTGGTAAGAGCAACAGAGTAAAACAGTGTAGTATATTCCAGCTACTTTATTTTTACACACAAGGTCCTCTACAACTTTTCTTGATAATATGATCACCTTGTCCCCCCACACACACACCTTTTGCTCCAATTAAATAAAGTGTCACTGACCCCATACTTACTCTGTGTCTGCTCCATTTTTCTTCCAACTCTTGTTCTCTGTATTTTGAATACTTTCTCCTCTAGTCTTAGCACTCCCAAGTCCTGCCATCTTTGAGGGTTCAGTCCAAGTGCTATCTAACCCAAAACATCTTCCTGGTTTGCTTCTACCAGGAAGTGACATTTCTCATCTCTGAACTCCCACTGCTTATTTTTTACACTTGTCTCACATCATTAGTCATTTCCTAATTTGTATTTATCTTCCCTTTGCAAAGCCTTTTCTCTCAGAGACCTAATACATAAAATGAGGGTTAAATAATATTTATGTGAGAGAGTTTATTATGAACTTGGAACCCTACATGTCACAATATTTTTTCAGAGAGATTAAACATCTGATCATCCCACCTTGGTCACAGCTCCATGGACAGGATGGGAACCTAGTTCAAGACCAACTGATCCCTAAATTGACCAGAGACTATACAGTGGCAGACAGGGGTGACAGTGATGTCCTAGAGCTGGCTCATACTGATTCACAGGATCCAACTGTTCCATTTTCAGGAGTTGAGGAGTTATGTTGGTAGTTTGAAATCAACTGTAGTGGAATTATGTGCACCATGGAAATTGGCAAACATCACAAATCAGGGTTTCCCCCATCTCAAACTACCCACAGGCAGCCACTTATGGAACATCTACCAGCACACCACTGTTGCTAGCACATTGAATCTTCTCCCTTGGCAGTTTGAGTGTGAGACTTACAGAAAGAGACAGTGATCCTTAACAGAGACAAAAGCAGAATAACTCAGAAGAGAAGGCTGTAAGCAAGGAGACATGAGCAAAAGCCACAAGGCAGAGAGACAGGAATAGAAATAAGTTAATCAGTAATGGCAGGTTTGTAGAAGCAAAGGCAGAGGGTGGTGAGGTTGTTTTCATGACCAATTCTTGGAGTAGGAAAAAACAGATGCCTCCCGCCTGGGATGGTGACTAATTCTGGTTTCTGGAGTTCCATGTGCTGGATCCCACATGAACTTTTGTGACTCCTGCTCTTCTGGAACTCTGACTCTGTAGTGGTTCCTGTTTTTACTTACTTTGTTGTCTCTCCTGAAACAAATCTTCATCACAAAGAACCCAAAGATCATGGCAGAGTGACTATGACACTTTGCTGCTCATAAAGGGCTTTCAGAGCCTTCTCATATTTCATGCTCACAATAGCCCTCATGGGGACACAGACTACCAACCTTTGTTGGCACCAACCAGCACACAAAATGAGGAAGCTGAGGCTCTGAGAAGCTGCAAAACTTGCCCAACAACATCCAGGTAGCAGAGAGCAGAAGTAAGAGAGAAACCCAGGCTATCTAGCATAGAGATCCAGAGCTTTGCCCACTTGGGGCCTGGATGATCTGTAAGGGTCATGTATGATGTGCATCACTCTGACACTCTGCCCACCTAGATGACAGTCTGTGACCTGACCGACGAGTAAATTTAGCTCACAATTAGAAAGAGCAAAGAGGCCAAGAGGTAGAAAAACTGAAAGAGGAGGGAGAAAGAAAGAAAATATAGTTTGAAAGTTTGAGTGTCATATCCAAGTAATGTGGTCTAGGCATATATACACATACATACACATATGTGATATCACATAGATTATATTTCATATGTATTATGTGGCATCAAACACACCCAGGTTAAAGTCTCAGCTTCCTATTCATTGGACATGAGAACTTGCATAAGTCATTACCCTTCTGAGATTTCACCCATAAAATGGGCATTAATTTCTCTGTCTACCTCATAAGATTCTGGTAAGGCTTACTGAAAATATGTATATAAACCATTTGGCACAAAGCCTGCTACAAAGTAAGTATTTTATATATTTGGTGTATAGTTTCCATTATTTTAAGTAAAAGAATTTTAAAAGTCATGAATAACTATAATAATTTTAATCTGATTTTATCCTAAAAAGCACTCACCACTAATAAAAGGACCACTATACACAAATCAATGGTATTCTATACATGCACACCGTCTGCTCTGAAAAAAAAAATTGGAAACACGCAAGGCTCAAAATTAAACGTCTTTAAATAAAACATAAAGCAAAAACAGCTGCTGTTGGAACTTGGTCCCTAGGCAGATTTGATTTTTGAAAATGACAAAGACGCCAAATTGTGCTTCGATCCCTGGGCTGCACGAGCGTGGGGAACGTGACTGCCTCCTTGCACTGATTGCCTGCATGAGGAAAAGATGCAGATGCTTGAACAAAGGATATCGTATGCTGGACACACAGCTCTTTGGGACCTGAAGCCAGCAGGGAATTCTGCAGCCACATCACAAATAGTGTTGCTGAGTTTCCTCCCATTTTCTGAAATAGCAGCACCACAAATGAGACACCCTAATGGGTGCCATAAATATGAAAAGAGCAAATTCATTAGGCTGATATAGGATAACACTCCTTGCCATGGCAGAGAAATCACCTATATTTCTAGAAACCTCAGTATGTGGCCTTATCATTTCCTAATAGATCCTCTGCTAATATATTACAGACCAAGACCAATGCCACCCAGGAGGTGAGCTTCTCATGCGGTGACCCAGAAATGAGATCCAGGCTATCTATCAGAGATCTTTTTTGAACATAATTCTTTTTAAATATAATTTTAAAGTTAGTAAAATAAAACTGAAGAAAACAAAGAATGTAGAGGCAAGAATAAATCCATCATCAAACACATAACCCTAATACAGTTACTGCCTTTTGCGTGCATGCTTTCCAGCCTTTTATTACTCACATGGTTGCTTTTACAGAGTATCTGTTGATTTTACAACATGAATTTTCAGGAGCTGGGCTGGCATCCTGTAAGGTGGGGTAGGGCAATAGTGGGTGACCCCCACCCATTTGCCATGGTATCAGATAGAGGAAATTCATTTCTCTGAGGAAAGGTTTACTGATACTGGTGCCTCCCTCCCACATGAGTGGGAATACCCCAGAATGAGGAACAGCTCCTTCATCATAGCCCCAGCTTACCTTTCCGTCATTTTCATGTCACTTTCTCCTTCATATCCAGTGTTTCTGGCACAGTGAGTTGATTCCCAGTGAACTTGACCACCCCTCAAGGTGATCACTCTGCCTGAAAGTCTCCTAGTTTACAACTGACTCCTTTTAACCATTCAGGCTTTATACTACATGCCCCTCTGCTACGAAGCCTTTGCTGAACCTGACTTGACCCACACCTCAGACTCAGGAGGTGATTCAGAACACTACAGCTACCTCGTCATTGTGCTCATTATGCTATTTTAATTTTGGTTTTCCTATCAATCTCTTTCCAAAGAGGGAGACATAAAGTCACATTCAGAAGGGAAGTTAGGGACCAGAAACTTGGCTTGTGCCATCCCCACCCCCAACAGCGTGCATGTGGCCCATGGTGGTATATGAGCTGCAAGAGCTTCTGCCCACGGGTAAAGTGTGAACAGTGAGATCCAAGGGTGAAGCCACTTTGGAGACTACTGGTGAGTCCATCAGAGGCTCTTTACCTGGATATCCCCATGGGTTTCCAGGCTAAGTTCAGTCCTTAAAAGGATAACACCTGAGGATGCCTGGGTGGCTCAGTGGTTGAGTATATGCCTTCAGCTCAGGGCATGATCCCCTGTCCTAGGATCAAATCTGGCATCAGGTTCCCCAAAGGGAGCCTAATTCTCCCTCTGCTTATGTCTCTGCCTCTCTCTCTCTCTCTCTGTGTGTGTCTCTCATAAATAAATGAATAAAATATTTTTTAAAAAAGGACCGCATCTGAAGATAGGAGATCTTCAATAACTAGGAGAAAAGTAGTCATGATCAGATGGTGGAGGCTCACAGAGGATGAGGAGTCAACATGAGTTCTCATTGCCAGACACATGATTGCAGAGAGGAATTAGAAGAGGGAGGTGAATGAAACCCCCAGTGGATGCTCTCTGAAGGACTTGAGGCCCTGAACTGTTGAGACAGACAAACAGAAAGACATGGAGCCACAGATGAGAAGTAACCAACCACCAAGCACTGCACACTATATCCTTGTGTTCAGAAGGGAAAAAAAAAAGCCAGAATGAATACAAGACTATGGTTTTCAGGGCTGAGGCTCTAAGAAAAAAGGAGGTTAGAACTGCCACTTACAGTCCCCAAAAGTAGATAGTATCTCTAAACCACATACTTCCAAAATAGTTTATTTTATGTACTTGTGTGACCTCCTCTAATTGCACATAGATCAAGAACTGCTAAGTGGAAGGCACTGCATAAATATTTGTTGGATGGATGGATGGATGGATGGACAGAAGGGTGAGTTAGTTCAATGCTATCACTAGATTACTCAGAGGGAACTGTGCCTTAGAAAGTAATACAAAAATAGATCACTTGGACAGTCATCACCTCAACCAAGGTCTGGAAGGACAAACTCAGAAGCAAAGCAGGACAGTTCCAGAAACAAAGAGGGAGGCAGATGGACAAGTACCCAAAAGGAAGCCTCACAGTCTCTGATTCCATTTTTCAGTGACACCCTGCTTCTTGACTAGGTCCGACTTTAGGGAATACTCGGGGCAGGAGTTCCAGTATCCTTGTGTTTGAATGAAGAATGCTATGGAATTCTAGAATCCTAAAAGAATCAAGAGTCCTGAGAGGAAACTATTGCAGTCCCTCAGCTATTCCAATAGTTTGAATATACTTACATAAAATGAGCATTGTTCTAATTAGGTTGATGTGGAAAACCATAGCACTGTGCTCCTCAGGGGCTGCACCAGTTTGCATTCTCAGCAACAGTGCATGAGGGCTAGGCAAAACATGTTGGTAATCACAAAAGGGTAAATGGATTAAATTCCTCTATTAAAGGATAGAGTGAATTAAAAAAAAAATATATATATATATATAGCATCATATATCACCATGCTCACTCCTAAAACAAAAATATCGACGAAAAGGAAAAGATTAGAAAATAATATGACAACCAAAAGTTGACAAAAAGAGAACCAGGTATAACAATATTAATATCAGTTCGGTTAGTTTAACTATAAAATTGCTTCTTTGTTAATGATCAGAATTTTTTTTTTAAATTTTTTTTTATTATTTATTTATGATAGAGAGAGAGAGGCAGAGACACAGGCAGAGGGGGAA